GAGCTACTATTTGCTAGCTAGCTGACTTTATCCATCATTTTAATCAAAGTAATATAAGAATAAGAAACTAATGTAATGGACCAACAGAAAATATAAATAGCAGTCACCATTTACTCTCAACACAAACTATATTTTAAGGGAAAAATCACTGTTTCCCATGATGTTCATCTAGCTCTGACAGCAGCAGTACGCTATGCATCTGAATGGAGAAATGCTCTTATATGCTCCACTTGTTTTGTCAGTGAAGTTCATTTAAAAAAGAGTGACTAACCCTTAACAAACTACTTCGAGCCTTTGCTATGGTCTTACAGTCAGTTGTAGATTATTATGAAATTGAACTAGTGTTAGCTGCCTTCATTTATCCTATCACTTTGTTTACTTATGTTGGTCTGCTAGTTATCAGTAGTAGGTATCAGTACAATGAGCTATAGCTTAGACATAAAAATGATCAAAAAAGAACTCCTCTTTGAGGGTCTATTAGAACAGTTTACAGCAGAAAAGGACATGGCTTTGTTATGGAACTGTCAAGAGCTTCAGGTCCATGTTGGAAATATGTGTGTTCAGGAGACTCAACTGTCATAGCCAAACCTGTCAATCAGTGCCCTTTTATTTCATCAACCATGCCCTTTTATTTATCACCAAATAACTTCTATAAAACACATTTATCATAAGGAAAAATATTGGGGGAGATCAGGGTGAGCTGAACTTGTAAAAACCACAGAACACTATTCCTGAAAATTATTTGTGGAGATATATCTTAAAATGAAAGTTTGTCATTTTCCCCATTCACTAACATGGGAATGGGCAGGGTTAAAAATTGTAATGGAGCCAGCCAATAGAGAGCCTCAGAGACATTTTGGCTTCACTTTTGATTCCCTGTTATGACATCCACCCATAATGTATACTGAATAGTCAATTATTATAACAGATTTAGGTGAATAAAGATAGCAATAAAGATAGCAATGAGTCAGTGCATGGTTCCCTGGTGGAATAGTGGCTAGTATGTGGTGCTTTCATCACCGCAGTCTGGGTTCAATTCCCAGTCAGGAACCCAACCCCAGCCACTGGAGAGTTGCACAAGCCAGTGCACTCTCAGTGCTGGTCCCAAGCCCGGAAATGGGGAGGGTTGCTTCAGGAAGGTAACCTACTTATAATGCAGACACATATAAACAAAGTGTCCAGTAAATATAATATAAACAATATTATAAGGAAACCCATAATCATTAGAATTCTGAAGAAGCCTTTCAAGTTTTCTGTGAATCCATTGAACGTGTAAGGAGTTAAATTTGTTTGAGTAAAATTGAGCTTTGCGCTGCTAGAACTGATTGGCGTGCAGTGGCCATATTGTTTTCCACATCTCATCACATTTTTGACCATTATTGAGGGACAGTCCTGAGTAATGTGGCATCAATTTGCTAAAGATATGCCATAAATAGTAGTTTGAGGAGTTCGGAAAAGTATTTTTTGATTAGCATATCGTGCAAATCATTATAAATTTAAGTAGGCAGGGCTAAATGATTTAAAAGGGACCTTTTTATAGTTTCAGCTAACAAATCATTTGAAAAAAGAATTTTCACTGTACACCTTATTCAGTGCTTGGTTACTAGTAGATTCCTGGATGGACCTACCATTCAGGTTTCGTGGTGATAGCTCAATGACAACCCTGTCTTATAGCTCTTTGAGTAAATTAAGCTCCATCATGCAATGAGTGCTTGTCATGTGGCAGCCATATTGTTTATAAATCTCAAAATGTTTTGATCATTATTGGGTTTTAGGCTCTGCTGAGTAATTTAACACCAAGTTTGTGAAAACAGGGCAAAAGTCCTAGGACTACTTTGCAAAAGTAGCACACAACAGTGATAACGAAACAGTGAGTCACTGTCTAAGAAAAGCAAGCTTCTTCATTTTTTATTTAGTGTTATTATTATTCAGGCTTACTGTGAATTATTACCTTATATATCACACATTTGTGGTACATTTCAAACATTTATTAATTATTTATTTTTACCATAATTAAAAAGTTCACAGCAGTTTTCAGATTTTACATCACATTACAAAATATGTAACATGCTAATATATATAATTTATAATAGATTAATGAAGGAAACAAGTCTTGAAGAAAAATGATGTATCTTCTATGTTTCATAGCACAGATCAAATCTGAATATATAGTTAATGATTCCAGTAAAATCATCTAGTTTACAAAGTTAATATTAATCTATTGGAAATGTGAAACATCAACAGGCATCATACTTCTGTTCTTCTTTTCTTCTCTGTCTTCTTCATCCTGGTCTTGATTGCAGTGAACATCTTCATCTTGAAGTAATTCCTTCAAATGTATCAAAGGGATATTATTTAATTTGTGTTTGATTATAATCTAGTTAATTAAAGATCATTTTTATTTGTATCAGTAAGAAGTCCATATAAAATAAATCAGTGTGTGTCACATTATTGCACTGATCACTGAAGAAGCTCATATCAGGAATTAAATAACTTACGAAAGTGGTTATAGCAGATGAAGTTCATTTTCTCCTCACAGTGTCTGTTCTCCAGGACGTTAGATTTGGCTTTTCGGGCTCCACAACGGAAACGTGGGGCAGGGCATGAGGGCATAAGACTCAGGTTCCCCAGTCTTTGTTCTCTCATTGAGACCTGGTTCACCCAGAACCATGATCCATCCAGGAAGCGCAGCCCGGTCCAGAAACTGGGTGTCAGAATTTCACTGCTCTTGCTGTTGACTGCAAAGTAATCTCTCTCTGTGTCAAGGCTTACCAGGTCAGTGTAGTTCATTCTGCAGTACTTCAGAGCTTCTTCCCAGGTCTTCATCTCCTGCACCACAATCAGCTCTGGCTTCCAAGTGTAGCAGATGAAGGTCTGGCTATATGTGCAGTAATAACTATACCAAAAATATTTTACGGATACACAGTTTTTATCTTTATCACTCGATGGTTGATAATTGTCCCAATGTGTGAAATCTGCTAAGCTTCCATCAGACCACTGAGTAAATTTTGTCGTATTTGAATTCCTGCTAAGGCCAATCCAGCACCACTGAGAAGTTAATACATCTTTTTGGAATTCTTCTAGTTCCTCTCTGGTTTCAATGGTTGCTAGATCTACATAATTTTCCCTGCAGTATGCCTGAGCTTCAGTCCAGTTCAGTTGTTTATTCACATGAATGTATTTTCTCCAGAACAGAGCTGTAGCTGCTCCTGTCAGAGCTGCCAGGAGGAGGACAGAGAGAACAGCCTTCATCTTCATCTCTCACTCTAGCGTGTTTGAGCTCGGATCTGAAGCCTGAAGATCTTTAAATCATTCAGAAAGCAGCACACAATAGGATGCAAAACCATATTGCACAGCTTTGAAGGACAATGTGAGAAAATGAGCAATGCAAACTTCAAATGCAAATGGAAAACATACATCATTGGGATTTGTTTTTCATCCTGCAGTCTGGTTCCTGCTCAGGTCCATTGTTTTTAGAACTTTAGTGGGTGACATTTTCTTTTATGGATGTTCTAAAAGTCTGTGATTTTTAGTGACTTATTCTTTACAGTCAAACTGGATTCTCTGAAAACTGGGCAGAACAAAGGACACTTAACAAACATTTAGCTCTAATGGGCAGTGACCTCTGCTAGCCAATTTGGGTAACTCATGTGTCTATAATCTTTCTTTACATGTTCTGTAAACTTTACTTTTCTCATTGTAAAACTTAATTTGTTTTTATTTTATGATGTGTTTTGTCATGCAGTCTTGCAATATTAATATTTGTCTTGGGTTTCCCCTATTTTAATTAATTATTTATTAGAAAGTTTCTGTAAAAAGACAGTCAGACTGTCAGACCCAGACACAAATCCTAATAAAACCAGCTATTTAAGCTGTGAAAGTACCCCCACCGTCAGATGAATAATCAAATACTGTCAGATGAGTAATCAAATAACTGTTATAGCAACAATAAACAGCGATTTTTCTAGCAGTTGAAAAACAATGGTATAAAGTTTGTATTGCTCTTTTTCTCAGATTGTTCTCTTTCGTCCTTCAGACCTGTGCAAAACATTTTTTTGCATTTATTTGTGTGATCAACCTTCAAACCTGTGCAACCATTTGCATTAATTTTGAAGTAAAACTGTAGTCATTTCAAATCCTTTGTGACATGCAAGAATGCAAGGAGGCTGAACACAAGCACCTAGAGGCAGGAATGTGGGAGAACGTGCTCTTTATTGCAGAATTTGGTGACGGCAATAGGTGGGAGTGAAAGTGAGGGAGCTAGGAGTGAAGGCTTGAGGGTGGCGTCGTCCTGGGGTTGAGCGCGGCAAGCAGGCAGCAGTGGCGCGGCGGCGGGATGAAGGGTGCACAACAGACGCTCTCAGCGAGTAGGGCTTTCGGCATGTAGAGGATGAGGCCCGTCTTCCTCGCTGACATCTCCGTCTATTGGAAACAAAGAGACAAACATTAGAGGGATCATAAACCTCTCCTACCTTATCCGGAGAGTGGCCGCTGGCTCCTCTTATATCCCTCTGTCTTCTCCATGAGGGTAGTTTATTGCCGCAGTCCTCATTGCCTGCCAGACGCGCTGCATTAAATCGCTCCTCCTCGCAGCCACATGCACTCCGGCTGTCCAAAACAATGAGGGTGCTGAATCGGGGCTGTCCCTTCAGCACCCCGCCGGCATTTATGTGAAGAGCGATTAATGATTTCCGTGCGCAGGCTGCAGGCCCTCCGTGACAGTACCCCCCCAGCTCTGAGCCTACTGCCGGCATGCGATGGGCCCAGACTGAATAGCACTGGGAGAGCCCATCTGCATGATGTTGCACAGTGAAGCTGTAGTCTTGGAGGGAGAGGAACCACCGTGTCACCCTGGTGTTGGTATCTTTGCCCTTTGTCATCCATTGGAGAGGAGCGTGGTCAGTTACCAAGGTGAAGGGCCAGCCGGCCAGGTAGTACTTGAGCTCCTTCATGGCCCACTTGATGGCTAGGGCCTCCCTCTCCATGGCCGCGTAGTTCCTCTCCGCGTGGTCAGCTTTCAGCTCACAAAGATCTGCAAGAGAACAGCCCCCAGTCCCATCCCGTCTGGACAATGAAGGGGAGGATGCAGTCAGGGTTTCGCAGTACAGGGGAGCATGTCAGGGTCTCAAATGCCTGCTTGGCCTCCCGACTCCAATGCACCCGGTCCTGCTGGCCTTTCCTGGTGAGATCTGAGAGGGGAGAGACAATTGAGGAAAAGTTGGGCACGAAACATCTATAATACCTGGCCAACCCCAAGAAGGCACGTACCTGTTTTTTTGATGGTGGGTTTCACTTCTTCCACTTTTTTTTCCTGTGGTATGAGGAGGCCCCGGCCGATGTGGTATCCCAGGCACTGTGCCTCTGTTAGTCCCAGGTGGCATTTCTTGGGGTTGGCTCCCCTAGGACCTCCCTGAGGTGGTGCAGGTGGTCAGACCAGGTGGAGGAGTGTATTATGACATCGTCAATGTAGGCCACAGCATATTGGCGATGGGGCTGTAGGATGACATCCATGAGCTGTTGGAAGGTGGGTGGAGCCCCGTGCCACCCAAAGGGGAGGACCCAGTACTGCCAGTGGCCACCGGAGGTGGAGAAGGCTGTCTTGGGCTTGGCCTCCGGGCTCAGGGCCACCTCCCAGTAACCTTTAGTTAAGTCCAGTGTAGAGATGAAGCAGGCCCTCCCCAGTCGCTCCACCAGGTCATCAACCCTAGGGATGGGGTAGCTGTCAAACTCCGAAACCTGATTCAGCTTCCGGAAGTCATTACACAGCCGAATGCTCCCGTCGGGTTTGGGCACCACGACGATGGGGCTGGTGGACTCCTCGATGATGCCATCCCAGAGCATCCAGCTGACCTCTTCCTTGATTGCCCTGCGGCGGGCCTCTGGGACGCGGTAGGGCCGCTGTCGGACCATGACTCCCAGAGGGGTTTTGATGTCGTGGTGGACCAGGTGCATAAGGCTGGGGGTAGAGGAAAAGACGTCTGCAAACTGGTCCACCAGCTCAGCCAGTTCCTGGCTTTGGGCCGGTGTGAGCTCCTCTCCTCGGCAGACCAA